GTTTTATTTAAGGTATTAAGCATTATTTATTAATAACATGTACAATTACAAGATGACTAAAACTCCCCTTTTCAAGAAATTATCAACAGAGTAAAGATGGCAACACACAAATACTTTTCATCTAAGGCAAGTTATAATAGGTACCTGGGAAGGTGAAAGATATATAAAGTATGATGTGGATAAGAACAATTCTTTTACATGGTTTTGCTTTGCTTTATAAAGAAGGAAATCAATATGTACCTTTTTAGTCCACCCTATCTTTTACGCTCCTTTGTTGCATGTTTCCTCAGTACTTTAATAATCTATATATCACTTTCCACCTAAGGCAGTGTGTATCATGTAATGGCTGAAGAATTGCCTTTGGAGTCAGACAGAACTAGGTTTAAATTCTAGCTCTGCCATTTATTCACTTTGCGACTATGGGCAACCTACTAGCCTTGGCTTTCTCGTCTGTAAAAGAGGGATGATAGTATCTAATTCACAGGGCTTGTTAAAAGGATAATGTATGTACTGTGTTTATCACAGTGACGAGTACACAATAAGCAAACAATATGTGATTGCTGGCATTATGTTTCAGTCGATGCTTTTTTTGTTGATAATGTAATCGATATTTTCTGCCTGTCTGAATATATTACAAACTTGTAGGATAAAAATTCTGGGTGCTCATTTATTAATCTAAATGCTTAGTTGGAGCCGCAAAAGTTATTACTGAATGATAAGTACCTTTGTTAGAGAGTACAGCTTTTTAGTCAACAGCTGAAATTTCTTGTACAGAAAGTACAGAAAATGTTCCCTGGGCCCTCTAAGAATCTTCCAAAACATACCCTTCCCTTCATAGGTTTAATGCAGATCGACACAGTCAGCACAGCATTATAGTTAATGGTGCGCGAAGTCACTGAATCTTAGAAAAATAGCAGGAGGAAAGAGGCGGCAGTCCCATGTGGCTGAGACAGTGGCGTGTACCTGGGCCTGCAGGAAAGCCTCTCCAGGTGTCTGGCCTCTGGGAAATTAAGGAAAGTCAGTGCCAATCATAATACTCTTGCTGGCACCAAAATTTGCCTGCAGGAGACTTGGATGCTTCAATGTATCTACCTACCTCACATGGGTGTTATATGGATTAAAAGGCAATAATTGTGAAATCCTGGAAACGAAACACCCTCTCCAAATGCTAAGCAGTCTATTAGTGGTTATGTTCGGGACAACTCAAGTATGGATTTTCTAGAGAAGCAGGACAGGCATGGGCCCCAATTTTGAAAAGGAAACAGTTATGGAGCACATCAGCAATGTTTAATCTGCTCTGATTCTTAAAACCTGACAATATGCAGGTACTCAAAGGGAAGTAATATCCTTCCAGAAATGCTGCACCTACATGTGAAATATAACTTTTGAACTTTATTAACCCAACAGGTAGATTATATCCCTGATACTATCTTTAAATCCTTGCAGAGACTTCATAATAAGTTGATTACAAAAATGTCCTCAAATGTTCACACTAAGCAAAGTAACCTAGCAAAGTTATTTATAGGCATATAAATGTTTCTGCAAATACTCATAAATGTTTTCTCCCCAAATAGAACACGAGTGGCTAAATTTATACTGCAAAGATACATATAGTTGTCCATACTGCTGTCTCCATATTATTTTTACAGTATAGCTGTAGTAATTAATGCTCAGAGGACAAAGTCTAGATAATCGAAAAATAAGAAAATGTACTACTCATGGCAGAGAAACAATTTTGTTCTATTTTATTCATTCCAAACACTTGTAAGGATTAGATGAAACTAAAAATTTAAGGCCACACTTTCAGTTCACTTGAAAGACAACCAAGAAAGGTGAGTATCAGATTATATTTTATTCTTTTACATTAGTTGAATGAGGCCAAGGGGGAGAATGAATATAATATTAATATTTAGTAGGGATACAAAGGTCAAACCATCACAATACCTTTCTCAAAAGGTTGCTTTGAGGAATAAAAGCTACCAGGTAGCATGGGTTCTGGAGTAAGAATGTCTGGGTTCAAATTCTTGCTCTTCCATTTATTCACTGTTTGACTTTGAGCAAGTTATTTTGTTAGCCTTCTCTGATATCCTTGAACTAGGTGGATTTTTTCTGAGTTCACGCTCTTCCGGCACTCAGTACTTCTCCTGTGTGATTTACACAATTATAACTACATATTGGTTTATTATTTATGTCTGTCTCCCGGCTAGACTGCAAGGATGCATAACGGAGAACCCGTGTACATTATATTCTATATGTCAGTGCTTGGCACATAATAGGATCTCAACATTGCTTAAAGATCTATGCTAAGGATTTATATCTATTTCCTAATCTAGTTGTTAAAAACAATTCTAAAGTTAATGTTGGTACTACTGTCCCAAGAAGAAAGTGAAGTTCAGGGGGGTAAAGCACCTTGCCAAAGGTACTAAGTGCTATATTCAAAACCTGAATCTAGGTCTCGTCACCAGAGCCCTACACTACAGGGCTCCATAAACCAACAAAGCTCATATCTTCATACTATTTTGTGCAATTTTGAGCCTAAATGATAGTGGAACTGACTGGGCAAATGCACACGTGCCTAATAACCCACTAATTTACTTCCCCTTCCTGTTTGGAAATAATCCAACACAAGAAACCCAAGTAAGTGTTTTCAGGTCTATATAACATTGCTTTCTTAGTAATGGAAAAGAAATGATGGCATGAGTTTAGAATATACTTTTTTATAGAAATTATTAATAAAATCAGGAACTTAGAAAGGAAGAGAAAATGTCCATTTGACTCAGCCATGACAGTATGATTGCTTTCTTGCTTCTTCAAACGGTAAGTGTCCTCTGAATCTGTCCACAGGGAGCCAGGGCTGATATGACAAGGCATGGTCCTAGGAGTCCCAGCCATAGCTCTTAGACTCACCAGCTATATA